GTTCTCTAAAAAAATTATATAAAATCTTATAAAACTTATATAAAATCTTATAAAACTTCTCCAAAATCTTAAAATATATTGTTCTTATGCCTTGATTTATATTGTTCTTATACCATGATTTAAATTGTTCTTGATTTATGGCCTTGATTTAAATTGTTCTTGATTTATATTGTTCTTGATTTATGGCCTTGATTTAAATTGTTTTTATACCATGATTTTAATTGTTCTCTAAAAAAAATAAAAAAATCTTAAAATGCTTATATCTTTTTTTTTGTGTTTAGGATATACGAAAAATGTCTTCCTCATCAAGTGCTCAAGAAGATGAATTTGTGGATGAAATAATCGATCAACAAGTGGACGATTTCATCGACTCTTTTATGGATGGTCTACACAACAAGCCGGGAAAACGAGCTTATGTAGAGAGGAATCGGGAACAAGGACACATCCAACTGTGGAACGACTATTTCAGTGAGAATCCTACATACCCACCTCAAATGTTTAGAAGGCGTTTTCGAATGAACAAGCCTTTGTTCCTTCGCATTGTTAATCGTCTCAGTAATGAAGTTCCGTACTTTGAGCAAAGAAGAAATGCTCATGGAAGGTTAGGGCTTTCCGCACTTCAAAAATGTACTTCTGCTATACGAATGCTGGCATATGGTCAATCCGCAGATTCAAATGACGAATATCTCCGACTTGCCGAAAGTACTGCACTTTTATGTCTGGAAAATTTCAACGAAGGGATAATACATTTGTTTGGAGATGAGTATTTAAGAAGACCTACGGCTGAAGATCTTCAACGATTACTCGATGTTAGTGAGGTTCGAGGGTTCCCAGGGATGATAGGAAGCATCGACTGCATGCATTGGGAGTGGAAAAACTGCCCAACGGCTTGGCGAGGTCAGTACACACGTGGTTCGGGAAAACCGACCATTGTCTTAGAGGCTGTGGCGTCACACGATCTTTGGATATGGCACTCATTTTTCGGCTTACCAGGTACGCTGAACGATATTAATGTTCTTGATCGGTCACTAGTGTTTGATGACATTTTACGAGGTAAAGCTCCTAAGGTTAATTTCAAGGTCAACAACCACACCTATCGCATGGCGTACTATCTTACCGACGGTATTTATCCGAAATGGTCAACATTTATCCAATTCATCCCCCTTCCTCAAGGTCCTAAAGCAGAGCTATTTGCTGAACGTCAAGAATCCACGAGAAAAGATGTCGAACGAGCTTTCGGAGTATTGCAATCGAGGTTTGCAATCGTGAAAAACCCAGCTCTACTATGGGACATAAATAAAATAGGAAGGATTATGAGAACTTGTGTCATACTGCACAATATGATAGTAGAAGACGAACGAGAAACATACACTTTTTATGATACATCTGAGTTCGAGACAGGAGAGTCAAGCAGAAGTTCTGAGGTTCAAACAACAACATCTTTGAATGCCGATAATATGCATGGCTTTCGCAATCAAATTCGAGATGCACAGACACATGCTCGTTTGAAAGCCGATTTGGTTGAAAATGTTTGGCAAAAGTTTAGTGATCTCAATTAGTAATCTTTGTATCTTCATGAATTATCCATGTTTCGAATAAAAACTTTTATAAAATAAATAAAAATTATATTTTCAATGTTCATGACTTCTTAAAAATTTAATTAAGTTTCTTTTTAAGTCCAAATTTCTTATTCTATTGAATATTAAATTTTTTTAAAAAATTATTTTTTAAAAAAATTATTTTTTAAAAAAAAATTAATATTTTATTCCTATGAACCCCAACTTCGGGTTCATTGATGGAGGATTACATTTCATCCGGGTTCATCACTATTCATGGTCCCACCATAAATACAATAAAAAATACTTGTGAACCCCAAGGGGGGGGGTTCACTAATGTGGGTGCTCTAATCGTTGCTATGCTGCAAATGAATTCCCAACACATATTTGTATATGCACATGTTTATATATAGCCTAGACGAAAATATATTTTACACATACTATAAAAATAAAATAATATATGTACATTCGTTTTGTTTTAAAGGAACATAAGATATACTTCAATTATAATGGTATGTATAAATATATATAGTGTTAAATTATTAAAAGCATACTCTTTTAACGCTAATTATACTTTCTAGTCTATGAAAAGTAATACAGGTGATTCTGCAATCGGTATATTTTGTGAGCATTCATATTTTATGACACCACACTGAAATGTTCTATGAGATCCCCGATTAATGGTATTTCTTGCATCTTGAATTCTTTTATAACAATTTTCTTTATTATCAAAAGTCAGGCTTTTTTTGTGTCAAACATTAAGGAATCCATAACAAACCACTAGAATTAAAGGGTTTTCAAACTATAACATATTTAAGTAATAAAATGGATAAATTTATAAATTCAAATTATTTTACAAACAGTTGAGCTAAGAGCTATAATCATATAAATACATAAAATATAGAATATAAATAATACTGATAAATGTATAATAACATTAATGATTTAATTGTAAAGATATTATAATGTTTGTAATTTATCTAGACATCTGCGTACGTATACCATGTAATATACGCTTAAATGGTATTGTGCGCCCAAAACATATAAATATTACATGAAAACAGTATGGTTAAATATTGTATAACACTAAAACAATGTTTATTCGAGTGTTTCCACCTATACCCGTTGTTTTCTGTATGTTCATATTTTCTAAGTTTAAGTTATATAAATTAACTAGACAATTGTGAAAATTCATTTTAGTGCACACAAAAAATAATTTCTTTACGTCATGCATCCACTGTAATTAACTTTAGACTAGCAGTGAGGTGTTTTTAAGTTAAATGTTGTAAAGTTGGATATAAATTATTTTAAGAATATAATTAACTAGAATTTCTTAGAAACTTAATAGGTTTATATCAAAATTAAAATTATTATTTAACAAAAAGGACATGAACATTCAGTTTTAAGTTTCATTATATATTTCTCTCTTTTGTGGAACTATTGATAATAATGATCTTGTATGTGTTATAGATTGTTTTATTATATTCTAAACAATCAAAAATGTATTAATTGTGAAACAGAGAGAATATATTTTTTTTAGACCCAAAAAAAAATATATTTTTTCTATCGAAAATCATCTAGGATGCCAATTAATACATGCTTCAGACAAAGACATCGTATCACCGTCCGAGTTAACTTCAGACATTTCTCTTCAACATCGATCGAAACTATTAAAAATATATATTATGTACCATCCAGATTAGTGGTTACGACTTACGCTTATAAATGTGATCTTATGTCCTGCGTAGCAACTATATAATATATTTAATATAAAATATCGTAATAATAAAATTTCAAAAACATAATAGTCACATACTTTTTTGGAGAGATTTGGACGGCCAAGGACTCGTACCAACAGGCAACAATAAACAACAGGCAGAAAAATCTGAGGACAAAAATGAGAAATGAAAAGAGCTTCGGAGTTCGAATTAACATGATCCACACAAGTGGACTTAAGCATCAACACTGACTCAACTTGTGGACAACAACTGCTCTTTTCCTTCCGCAACGTATCAAACACTAAATTATAATAATATTCTGTGGGTCACTATGCACTCGGTCTAATAAGTGCGCGTATTTTCGATCAGTCGATACCACCAACTCTTTTTCTTGAATTTCTTGGATGAATATTTACATCCATGATCCATGATATTTTCTTGATCCGACGAACTCACTATCTTGAAATCATCACATTTTGAAGTATTAAGAAAAAAATCGTCAAGTTTACTTTAAAACACATGAAGATGTCTTTCGTTCAAAAAAAAATGTCTTAGGTTGATTTGATTTTAAAACAGCGTAGTGTATTTTCTTTAGTTATAAAACTGTGTTTTTATAAGTGACGGTTTTGTCAAATTATTGTGAGTCTTGTGCTGTATTTATTTGCTTTTGTAACTGTGGATGTGGTAAAAATAAATATGAAAATGAAAAAAAAGTAAAACAATACCAACTAAAAAACGATATGAAAATTTGTTTAATCGTTAAAGTAAGACTAAGTTGATACAGTTGTATTCAAGTTGTATAAGTTTTTTAAGGGTTTGATTGATTTAGCCCAAATCTTCAAACCTAACCTCACGTTCTGGAAGAATCAAAATACGATTAAATATTCAAGATATTTGTGATTATTATATACATTGAAATAGATTCACGTGTATTGTGTACTATTTGATTAAAATGTAAGTTAACAAAATGTATGACTTGTTCTTCCCAATTTCTGTGTAGTAAATGATGGCGACCGATAAGATAGTTAACAATTAGTTTTAAACAAATATTTATTTTAATAATTTATTTAATTTTCTCTTTGTAAAAGAATATTACAATATATATTTTTTTCAATTTATCATTAATTATTAAAACACTTTTTCATTTATATGTGTATTAATGTTACTTAACTATTTTGTGTTTACAACAAATTTAACACAATTACGATTTATATAAATTAAGTATCATCATATAATAAAAATAACATAATATAAACAAACAAACATATTTTGTGAGAAAATATTTTTAACTTCTGAAACATTCGTCACTTACTACGCCTTTCCTCGTCTCTGGGTGTCTAGGTATTTTTACGACTATTCTAAATGTACAATTCTATTTCGATAATAGTATTCTATTTCAGTTGGAAAATGCAGTCAGATGTTTGAGGTAGTATATGCGATCTATACATATTTATATTTTATAAGTGACTGATATAAATATTTTAACTAAATAGTGAACATTTTTTTAACTTATTTATATTTTATTCTTCTTAATCAAAGTAAAAAAAATTACAATTAAATATTTCATTTTCTTCAATATAAACATCTAATAATATAAAACAATATTTGATAATTATAAATGAATTTGGGTAACAGAAACATATATAATTTGTTTTAGTAAAAAATAAAAACAGGTACACGTTGACAACCAATTAAAAAATTTATCTTAAGAAATAAAAATATGAGCATGGCATTTTCAGATTTGAAGCAGGGTTATTCATTTTTTTATTTTGAAGAGAAAATAAGGTATTGATTGAATCATTTTTGTAAACATATGTTATTAGCAAGAATGCATAATTTTTTATAACAAAGATAGAAGGCTCTTTAAAAATCCCTGAAATCTTCACAGTACTAGCTTAGATGCTCTACAAAACATCCCAACCAATTGTTTCTCTAAACTTGGAATCTCACACTTTGCTTCAGGTCTAGGTGAACCCATGCTTACACATAAGCCAAGGCTGGATCTCTTAAACATTGGAGAAGCTAAGATATTGGTGGAAATAGAGCTTGATGAGATTTTTTCCAAACAGATTGTTTTGGACGACAAGCTTGGTAACATATTTTTAGTTGATGTGATATACTCTTGGATTCCATCAACTTGTGAAAGATGTGAGAGCCTAGGTCACAAAGCAAAGAGGTGTCTACTAAATGAAGACAAGATTCCACCAACTAATGAAAAATGATCTGAACACACTAGCAAGGAAATTCCAGTGCTTGTTCTAGACTCTTTCTTGGATAATACTGATTATGATGTCCAGTAGAATTGTGTCACTCCTAATGTGCTAGGAGAGAGTATCAAAGCCAAAATATCATAAATGAGCTACTTGATCAAGCAGTAGATCACATTATAGGATAAGAGCTTAGTCTTCAAAAAACTGTCTTTATACCTCAACATGTTCCCATTCAGTTCGGGAAGCCAGGAGCGTCCTCAACGGACAATAATTCTTCACCAGCAACAAATGATTCTATGTCTCTTCAGGTAGTTATTTCTCACAAAGATAACTCTGTTACTTTCGGTAAATCAATTATGGATGCAAAGATTACCCTTTTTTCTACACTAGCAGGTACATCATCTACTCACACTTCTTTACCAGTTATGGACGATGTTCCATCAGAAATTATCATAAATGAGGGTACAATACTCTCAGAACATGATCCTTTAGAAATGACCCCTCTTCCAGCAGAGTCAATCCAAAAAGTAAGTAATATGAAGTACATGACTTGGTCTTGAGCTGTTCCGAGTCTTGTGGAATAAGTTGCTTTGTTTTAGTCTTTTCTTAGGAAATAAGAAATCCTATTTCTTAGGATATGAGTAGTTAGTAGTTACGACTTTTACGTTGAGTTAGTTGCTTTCATTTTCTATTTAAGCTTTTGTAATTTTTCAAGTTCAAATATAAGAATTATTCCGCTCATCTTCTTCTCTTGAAAGTCTCAAGTTCTAAGTTTAACAAGTGGTATCAGAGCTCTTATCTTAATTGAGTTCACGAGCTTGTGTGAGAAACAAAAGAGAGATCAAATGAGTGATAAAGACACGTCTCTGAACATCCCTAATTTCGATGGTGATTATGAGCATTGGGCTATGCTCATGGAAAACTTGTTGAGATCGAAGCAGTGGTGGGAGCTCATCGAGACCGGAGTAGCACAAACGGAGAGAAATGTGATCTTGACGGGAGCACAGCGGACTGAGCTTGCTGACCAGAAGCTGAAGGACTTGAAGGATAAGAACTATCTCTTTGCTTCCATTGACAAGTCTATTGTGAAGACGATTGCGAAGAAGGATACTTCCAAGGATATTTGGGAGTCCATGAAGGTGAAGTACCAAGGCAACAAGCGAGTCCAAAGCGCTCAACTCCAGAGGCTGCGGAGGAACTTTGAAGTGTTAGAGATTAGAGAAGATGATTCCATCACAGACTACTTTGCGAAAGTAATGTTGGTGGCTAATGATATGAGGAATCTTGGAGAAGAGATGCCTGATGATAAGATCGTAGAGAAGATACTAAGGACTCTTGTGGAGAAATTCACATACGTGATGTGTGCAATTGAGGAGTCTAAAGACATCAAGGAGCTCTCGGTTGATGAGTTACGGAGCTCCCTATTGGTACATGAGCAGAAACTGAGTAAACATGAGAATGGTGATGAAAAAGTACTAAAAATGGAGGGAAACCAAGGACATGGTGGCTATGGAAGAGGAAGAGGAGGTTACAGAGGAAGAAGAAGTGGAAGAGGAGGTACTAGCTTTGACAAGAGCAATGTGGAGTGCTACAAATGTCACAAGCTTGGACACTACAAAAACGAGTGTCCACTGTGGGAAAAGACAGCCAACTATGCTAAGTTGGAAGAGGATGTACTGCTGATGGCAATGGTGGACAAGAAGGTGGAGCTAGTGTGGTATTTGGACTCAGGTTGCTCGAATCATATGTGTGGAAACAAAAGCTGGTTTGTCAATATCGATGAAGGCTTCAGACAACAAGTGAAGCTTGGTGATGATAGAAGAATGCAAGTGGAGGGTAAAGGAGACTTAAGATTGGAGATTGATGATATTGTACAAGTAATCTCCTAAGTTTACTTTCTACCAGGACTGAGAAACAACCTTCTAAGCGTGGGCCAGTTGCAGCAGAAGGGCTTGAGGATTGTCATTGAAGACAATGAGTGCAGAGTTTGGCATAAACAGAAAAAGCGAGTGATTATGCATTCAAAAATGTCCATCAACCGTATGTTTGTCATTCTAGCCACAGTTTTGGAGTCCAAAGAAGGTCTGGAAGTGAATCAAGTACGGAGTACTGATGAGACACCAGAGGAAACATGGCATAAGAGGTTTGGTCACCTGAGTCTCGCAGCTCTAACCACACTCGCAGAGAGGGAGATGGTTGCTGGTCTTCCTGTGATCACAAACAATGGAGCAGTTTGTGAAGTGTGCATGAAGGGGAAGCAGATTTGAACAAACATACCAAAGCACAATGAGTGGAGATCAAAGAAGAACTTGGAGCTAGTTCACAGTGATATTTGCGGTCCTATCTCAACAGTCTCAGAAAGTGGGAAGAGGTATATCATAAACTTCATTGATGATTTTAGTAGAAAATGTTGGACATATTTTCTCAGTGAAAAATCAGAAGCACTGAGAGTATTCAAGAAGTTTAAGGTGGCAGCTGAAAGAGAAACATGAGAGATGTTGGTGTGTCTGCAAACTGATAGGGGTGGAGAGTACAACTCAAGGCGTTCCAAGACTTCTGTGTTGACAATGGCATCAAAGACAACTCACTACAGCATATACACCACATCAAAATGGAATTGCAGAGAGGAAGAACAAAAGCATCATGAACATGGTGAGATGCATGCTATTTGGAATGAGAGTTCCACTGAAATTTTGGCCTGAGGCAACACATTATGTTGTACACATTTTGAACCGAAGTCCAACGGCTATACTAGGAGAAGTCACTCTATCAGAGAAGTGGAGCAAGCACAAGCCATCGGTAGACCATCTTCGAGTGTTTGGATGTCTAGCTCATGTTATGGTTCCATATGAGAAAAGAACCAAGCTAGAAGAGAAGAGCATTAAGTGTGTAATGTTTGGTGTAAGCAAAGAGTCAAAGGCTTATCGTCTCTATGATCCCACAACAAAGAAGATCATAATCAGTAAAGATGTTAGATTTGATGAAGGAAAGCAGTGGATTTGGGAAGAGAAGTTTGATGACGATGAAGTTTTAAAAGACATCACTGATGTGGAGGAAGAAACACATGCAGTGGACAGAGAAGAAACACAGGAAACACACGATGAAGAAGAAACTGCAGGAGATGATCCTACTGATGAACAAGCAGTTGCAGACGAGGAGAAATATAATGAAGAATCTCAGACCAGATCAAGTAGAGGTTCATGATCAAACAGAGCTGGAAGAAACATACAAAGACCAACTTGGATGAAAGATTATGTATGTGAAGGGTTGACTATGATCGTTGAAGAAGACAAGGATGAGTTCATGGTGTAATTTATTGGAGAAGATGATCCAGAGAAGTTTGAAGAGGCTGTAAGACACGAGAAGTTGAGGAAGGCAATGGAGGCTGAGATAAGTCTATCAATGACAACAATACTTGGGAATTAGTAGACTTGCCGGATGGTGCCAAGGTGATTGGTGAGAAATGGGTTTTTAAAACCAAGTTCAACGAGAAAGGAGATGTAGACAAGTTCAAGGCAAGGCTTGTAGCAAAGGGTTTTCATCAGACCCATGGAGTGGACTTGCATGAGGCTTTTGCTCCTGTTGCAAGATGGGATACAATAAGGCTGATTCTCGGTTTAGTAGCTCAACAAGGATGGGTGGTTCTTCAACTTGACGTGAAGAGTGCATTTCTACATGGAGATTTAAATGAAGATGTGTAAGTAGAACAACCAAAGGGGTTTGTGTGCTGAGAAGAAGAGGGAAAGGTATACAAGCTAAACAAGGCTTTGTATGGTTTGAGACAAACTCTAAGAGCTTGGTATAGCAAGATTGATGGATACTTTGTCAAGGACAGTTTCAAGAAATGCTACTGCGAGCATACCTTGTTTGTGAAAACTGAGAAGGAAGGTATTCTTATCATTGGTCTCTATGTTGATGATTTGATTTATACAAGTAACTCTGATGAGCTTCTCAATAAGTTCAAGATCTCTATGGAAGAAGAGTTTTCCATGACCGATCTTAGAAGGATGAAATACTTTCTAGGTGTGGAAGTAGTTCAAGATGATCATGGCATTTTATTAGTCAGAAGAAGTATGCAGAGGACACGCTAAAGAAGTTTGGTATGTAGGAATGCAATGCAGTGAGAAACCCTATGGTGCCTAGCAATAGGTTAACCAAAGATGGAGATGGAACCAGTGTTGATCCTACTTCGTTCAAGAAATTAGTGGGAAGTCTCAGGTACCTAACTGCTACACGGCCAGACCTTATCTACTAAGTTAATCTGATGAGCAGATACATGGAGAAACCGGGTGAATCACACTTGTCTGCAGCAAAAAGGATCTTAAGGTATGTTCAAGGAACTAGGGAGTATGGTATTCAGTATAGAAGGGGTGGAGATGCGAGTCTAGTTGGCTATGTGGATAGTGACTACGCAAGTGATAAGGATGATAGAAAGAGTACTTCCGGTTACACTTTCATGTGGAGTGTTGGAGCTGTCTCATGGGCATCAAAGAAACAGCCCATTGTTACACTCTCCACTACTGAGGCAGAGTATGTGTCTGCAGCCTATGGTGCTTGGCAAGCAGTTTGGTTAAAGAATGTTCTCAGTGAGATTAGCTTAGATCAAGAGGAAGGAATCACTATGTTTTGTGATAACAGTTCTGCAATCAAACTTTCAAGAAATCCGGTGTTACATGGAAAGAGCAAGCATATATATCAGTGTAAGGTATCAATTCTTGCGTGAACTTACCAGTGAGGGTGTGATCAGTTTGGACTATTGCTCCACGCAAGAACATATATCAGACATCATGACAAAGCCTGTGAAGCTAGACGTGTTTGAGAAGTTAAGAAAGATGTTGGGCGTAGTCTTGAAGGAATAAGTAAACTGAAACAGAGTGTTTACAATTTAAGGGAGGGATTAAAGTACATGACTTGGTCTTGAGCTGTTCTGAGTCTTGTGGAATAAATTGCTTTGTTTTAGTCTTTTCTTGCGAAATAAGCAATCCTATTTCTTAGGATCTGAGTAGTTAGTAGTTACGACTTTTACGTTGAATTAGTTGCTTTCAATTTCTATTTAAGCTTTTGTAATCTTTCTAGTTCAAATATAAGAATTATTCGGCTCATCTTCTTCTCTTGAAAGTCTCAAGTTCTAAGTTTAATATAATATGGAGAGTGATTTCATATTACTAAACAAATAGATGAATTTGGAAACATGACAAGGGGGTGCCGGTTGATCAAACCGACACAAAAATAGCAAGATATGGGATGGATGACAGTTCGTGGCAGAAGAAAACGAGGCCGTAGAGGTCGAGGTTTTTATCAAACGCACTAATCCTTCCTAGTTTAGTTTAACTTAAGAGTTGTACAAAGTTTTCTAACTTATATAACTCTTTCTTTGTCTACTTAATGTATCAAACTTTCTCAAACTATATGATCTAACAAATCATATCTTGTACTTTATTTTAATTTTAATGAAAACCCTTTTACAAAAAAAAAAGAAAAAAAAAAGAAAAGAAAGAATGCATGTTGCTAATGCCGAAAACAGTATCAACTCCTGCTTAAAAAGTCTCACTACTTTGCGAAAAATGAATAGGGATTCAAACGAGTAATCTTCAAGATAAGTAATTTATTTCATCCGATTAGAGATATCACGTCATATCTTAGGAATTGTAGCAAGTAGTTTATCTTATTAAGTTGCTCTTTTAGAATGTATTGCTGATAAATAATCATCATTTGTAACCTTGTTACACAAATGTTAAAAAGTAACGTAGGTAATTCACTTTGTAGGGTTCACATTCAATGCTTTTTATGGCTGCAACGTTGCTTGATTGCTTTTGAAGTTTTTTTCCTGTCATCTATAACTCAAATTCAGATACAGACGTCTACATCTGACTTCCTGTAATCATGTTATACGCAACAATACTACTGATATAAATCACAAAGTTACAAACTCCATTCATGAATAATGCAGTGGTAGCTAAAATCTAACATTGTGACATTGTGAGGTTATAATGCTTTCCTATTAATAAGCAATCACACGCAATGTATCGCACTTCTAATTTTAATAGTCAAACATTATTATATAACTGATAACATTCGTAATTCGTGGGGGTAGCTTTCATTAAAACAAACATACAAATGCTAAAAAATAAACCAAAAAGCCTTTAAATGTGAGCCATATCATCTTTGCTTGTTGTGATAGTAAGCTTATATAATTAAATAAAAGTTGACTGATTAACCACCACATAATGGGCCAAAGACAACTATTAATAAAGATGTTGATCTCACCCTAAATTCTAACCGTTTCTTATGCTTACCCCTGCTTACCTCCACTAATTACACTTGTTTGTATGATTTATTTATTTATCTCTTATTCGGTTTTAGATAATTCTATCACAAATTTCAGTAGCAAAAAACTATAAAAATAATGTGTGCCAGGAAATGGATGCTTATAAAAAATTATAGTTCGGTCATATGATTTTTGAACAATCCTCGTCTCTATACAATGAAACTCACAATATTTCATGATTACAATTTCGTAACTTTCGGTGATTCTATTAAAAAAAGAAAGAAAAAATCTGAAATCTTGATTGTTTGGTTTTCATCGTACATCGTAATCATGTTACAGATTACAGACACAATATTCAATTAGCATCATATCTCACCCATTTAAAAAAACAAACAAACAAAACAATGATGTATCGGTGGGAGATGTAAACGAAAGAGTCGTACTATGGAGTTCTTGTTTTTTTTGAATGAAAGGTTTTGCATCCACAGAAAGATCGCTTGGAGGAAAAACATTCAAAACATTGACGATTTTACGCTCTTAAGGGCATTTACGTCAAAATAACAGGGCTATATTCATCCACGTGTATAACAACAACACGATACACAACACATCATTATTAAAAAATATATTTTCATTTTGATTTTAACATACAATAATCTTCCTATATAAATGACTAACGTTTCTCCAACTTACAAAACTTCTTAATTTCCTCAAAACATAATCACAACAGAGAGAGAGATAAATAGATAAAATGTGTAGAGGCGTGAATGAAGAAGAGAACAGAAGCATCCACGGAGGTTGCCGTAGTCTCTGCACGAGACCAAGTGTTCCGGTTAGGTGTGAGCTTTGTGGTGGCGACGCCTCCGTGTTTTGTGAGGCGGACTCGGCTTTCCTCTGTAGGAAATGCGACCGGTGGGTCCACGGAGCTAATTTTCTAGCTTGGAGACATGTGAGGCGTGTGCTATGCACCGCATGTCAGAAGCTCACACGCAAGTGCCTCGTCGGAGACAACTACCACGTTGTATTACCGTCGGCGACGCTCGGAGAAGCCGCCGTGGAGGATATAACGATACGGGGTGAGCAAGATAGTAGCGATCACGAGGTTCCGTTTGTGTTTCTCTGATTTAGTTTTGTTTTTTTGGTGTAAGATATTACTTAAATTCCTAGGGTTTTTATGCATTTTTCTATTAAGAAAGAACCTGGGAAATTTAATATATGAAGCTCGTAATTAGAATATTATGAGAGGGTATTGTCTAAAAATAGCAAAAAGAAAAATTCTGAAACTACAAGGAAAAGATGAAGGGTTATTCTTCGAAAATCTGAAACTATTCTACTCTTCAATATGTTTGGAACTGGAAAAATATTCTGAAAACAAAACTAATAAATCAAACAACTAAACAAACTGTGGAGCCTCCTGGTACAAGGGGAATAATAGAGCTTCTTTTGGCTTTTTGTTGATTTATTTGCTTCTTTTTTTTTGTCTTTCTTAAGTTGTATACTTTTATCATTTTCCCTAATGATATGTAAGAAATACTAGTAAAGTACTTTTCACAGGTGAAACATCTTCTTCATGCAATGCTTAATGTTAGTGAATGGGTCGTTCAAGCTAACTCAAAAATGAAGTATATCTAGGAAATATATTATTACTCTGTAAGACAAAGATTATGCAATCAAGAATCTATCCGAGAGTTTAATAGTTTACCAACTGGCACGTACTACCTGACGACCACTTAGGGGAAGTCATCCAAGGTCACGAGTTCGGATACCGGGCGACCACGGATAGAAGACTATTAAATATGACTTCTTCTGAGTTTTGGTCCGAAAAATTCATAGGAAAAAAAGTGAAAATTAGACTCGTCAGTTCTTCTTGTTACAACTTGTCAAATAAAATTAGACCAAAAAAAAAAACTTGTCAAATAAAAGAACTGGTCTCTTTAATAATCCTAAGACACGTTAACCGCGTCTCTCTGTAACAACTTACGGGGAAAAGATAATGAATGAAGCAAGATTGTAATCACTGCTACTTTATTCATCAAAAAAGCTAGAAAATTTATTGGTAAACAGAGTAAATAGGATAGAAACCCCCAAAAACATTAAAAAAGAAAAAACAAAAGAGTTTCTATCTGAAAAAGGAAGAAAAGTTACTATATTTTCACCCATTTTGGCTTTCCACTCACTTTCACTACGTCTAAGCATTCTTCGTGCAGTTCTCCAACGTTCCCATGCCGCAACATGTTGATTTCTTCGATTCAAAAAAAAAAAAAAACTGTAGACAAAAAGATAAAGAGTTTGCTTACTTTTCGGACAAGAACCTGTTTCACCACATATAAGCGTACACATACATTGTTTTAGGGAAAAAGAAAAAACTCAGTGATTGGTCGTTGGTGGTGATGATGGGTCATAGTCATAATTGTCTCCAGCTTTCACGAATCTTCCTTTCACTCTTTTTCTCGTGTCAGCTCTCGCTTTGCGAGATGCATATCGAATCTGTTTCCCAAAACTACAACTCAAACAATTAAAATCTTGAAACAAAACTTGTTAAAAAATTATGTTTTGTAACGTTTTGTAATAAAAAAAAAAGAAAATAAAACTCACGTGCGCTTGAGTTTCTTCTCTTTGTATCTCAACTTAGCTTCATTCCTTGCTTGTGGAGAACCAACTTCAAGATTCGTTTCCCATGGTGAATCACTCATTATAAACCCTGTAGACATACCACAATCTTGGTAATCTGTTGCACTGCTTTCATGACCTGTGATGTTCGGAGGCATCTGTCCGAACAAGATAGGGGATGTAGGAAGAGGAAGTCCAATGTTGATGTTCATTTGCAACGGAACTGACTGATGATAACTCGTGCAATCTTGCTGTCCTGGTGACGTTACCTGAAAAGAGTTTATGCTGAGTTTATTGTAATTACATTTATATTAGCACAAAAAAAGAAATAAAGAGAAGATAAAGTGACCTCTAATGGGTTGTCTGTAGTAAAGTTTGAGTCAGTAACAGATATGTTGTTCTTGTAAACCAAGAGAGCATTTGGTAATGTTTGATCAGATTCTATGTTTTCTTGTGGCGAGCAGCCGATGATATCATCTCCAACATCAAAGTTTAACGGTGCATTATCCAAGTTAAGTCCTTCACATAGATCTTCTTCGCCTTCTTCAAGTTTTAGAATCAAATCAGGACATCCCTGACAAACACACATATATAAGAATAACATAAATGCAGCAAAAACTTAAGAAACATGTTTGGTTAGGTTAGTACCTTAGAATCCCCTGAAAAGAAAGATGATTGGTCACTGAGATTCTGAATGTAAGTGTTGTTTTGTGACATCATTGAATAAGAGGAACCAAATAAATCGTTTAACTCGTTGATTTTTGACATATCGAACATGTCACTGTTGGGATCAACCAAAGGCAAAGAACCAATGGATGGATTAACTAAACTGGAAAAAGTAGGTTCAAGAATTGAAGACCACATTCTGGAAAGTTCGGTTGGAGAAGGACAACCGGAGAATGGTTCCAGCCTTTGAAGTCTATGTCCTAAGGCAGAGCAGTTACTTACGTGCCATTGACATCCTTGGCAATATGAATCCTTCTGGTCGAGACAGCGGATTATGCCAGGCTGTGAGAAGCATTTGTCGCAGATCAAAGAACGTGTGTGTCTGCGAGACAGAGGATTCGGAGAGTGTACATGGACGTCGCAAGTTAGGCATAGTTTAGCCAAATCGTACTTGCAGTAAATTATTGCTCGCGTGGTTTTACAATAATCACATTTCGGCTCCATATTTTAAGATATGATAGAACAATTTTGTTTTTTTAATAAAAACTCCAATCTGTGAGATTTATAATCAAATATAGAATGTCACACTTTTTGTTATTACTCGATCAAGAAACACACGTAAGATCCTGCAAAACAGAGATTCATGAACATTTTAGAGCTATTTCAGAAGAAAATGGATGATTTTACCTACCAGAGAGGAAAAGAAAAGAGAAATGATGATTTTGGAATTTTAGATCGTAGCAATTTGGATGCATGATAGAGGAAGAAAAACTTACGGATTAGTCCGCTTCACCTTCACGTAAGTAGAGAAACTCAAAACTGAATTGACAGAGGATTTACAGAGTATCAATAAAGAAAAGTATTACAAGCTAAAACAAAATATTTTTCTTTTGAATCGAGTGAAAGCTAAGAACGAAAGAGAGAGTTTTTACAGTGGTGTAAATCACGTAGAAAAGGGGAAAAGAAAAAGAGTGATGTAGGTAGGGTTGCTATGTTTATATACCATGTGAAAAAACGATCTCCCACGTGGCTAAAACTCCAAGTTAAATTCCACGTGGCATAATCAAGTAGAAGGAGAAGTGAACACAAAAACTTAAGAGAGGTTAAAAGGTTGCTTGATGTGTTTTATAACTAGTGAAAAAACGCGGTCCCACAAAAATCTGACCTGAAAATCCCCACGTCGTCATGCATCGAAATATGTAAGAGTTAACGCGTACGTTGTTTTCTCACATTGGAAAGAATCTAACGTTACTTAATTTAGAAGTTGCATCGAGGTATTGTAGGAATATGCAGCAAAGTACGTGGAGAAAGTTTGTTTGATAACTGATTTATTTGCTGAAAATACCAAAAAAGAAAAAGTTTTCTTAAAAAGTGACACATGTCATATTTAGTTGTGGGACAAGAGTTCGGAGGCGAAGTAGCTTGAGAGGTTATATAAGTACACAAAATGTAATGTAGCCTAGCATGGTTCTGCGTACTGAGTACATATATAGACCGGTTGGCTCATAATTAATTAAGCATCCTGGTTCTTTGGTTTGTCTCTTTGAATGTTCATAGCGTCCTTGTCACTTGTGTCATGATTGCGTCCAAAGATACTAGACGACATGTAAGAGCAAGTACATCAGTGAAACCCCCTTTGGAGTTCACAATTTTAATATTATATATATATATATATATATATATTTTTTGGTTTGACTTTTTATTAAAAAAAAAAAAATATAGACAAATAGCGGGCCACCACGTAGCATGGGGCCCATCAAAAAGCCATGAACTGGGTTCATGGAGAAGAGGTGATGAGAGCTGAGTTCAACAAAACTGATTATTATAACATTTTTTTTATGGGGAAATGTGTGAACCCATGTGTTGAGACTTTGATGTGGCTGCCCTAAGCCTTTCTTGAATTTCTCATTTATATATTATGCATTATATAAAACTATATAGAACTGTCTTTGTTAATCAATTTAGCAAATGAAATATAAACTTTTTATTATTAACCACATTAAAACGAGGATTAGCTAATTATAACTAATGTCATCAAGTTCTTGATTTCGATGTCACAAGTTTTTTCTTTTATAAAATTAATTTCATATTTACAGGCACTACAACAACTAGCTCCACCCACGGGTTGGAGGTGTGAGCAATGCGGACTTGAACAAAATTGAGTCGGAGCTTCTCTTCCTCCTTGGCCTTGTTAGTTATTAGAGCTTTTGAGACTCAATTGCTACTAAACGCTGACACTTCTTCCACCCAGCAAGATAGTTTATTGGCTGCATCTTCTTTGTCATCTTTACACGTATACGAGTTTTTCTGTTTTAAACTGTGTGCGCGTTTGATTGGTGGAAAAAGTTTATGAACTGATAATTAAATCTTAAAATTTTGGTTTTCTAAAATTTTTATTTAAATTTACGCTAGAAAAATTAATCGATATCACATATCCATGTATACTGGACCATGGCTATGGTTTAATAATTTGAATAACTGTAATTTTCAACTAAATAATTTGTTTCCCAGTAATTTCCTCATGTGGTTTTTGTTGTACAAATTCATCTATATGTTTCCTTCTTTTCACATGTAAAATCATACACCGTGATTGCTGAAGTAACAAACAGTAGAAAACTGAAAGCAGATCTCACCTCCTAAATTTTCTTACACTAGGGATTGTATTGTGTTTATCATGAAAAAATATAATTATTTCCTCAAACTCAACCTCAAAAACTACAGAACCAAACGGCACCATTTTAATAACTTTCGTCGCTTAGAAATCACATCCATCGCACCCCACGGTATTAATCGCCGTTACACACGCCTATCTAATGCCACGTGTAAAAATAGACACGTGTCAGTTTCAGAGAGTTTGACTTTCCACAGATTGTTGTTCAGGTAAAAGTACACAGTTCTTCGTTGTCTCCCTCTCTCTCTCCCTCTAAAACAGTGGCTAAAGCTTGAAGCTAAGAATCTGATCTTTGTTCGTGTTTAAACGACGACGCTTTTTGAATTATGGCGGAATCGTCTTCTTCCTCGTCTTCACCAACTGAAGAGATTGTTCGATTAATCAAACGAATAAGCGGTTACGTTGCTTTCAAGATGTCTACCCTCTTCTCCACACCTATTCGCAATCTGGTTCCCTCTCTCTATGAGAATTTCCAAAATTGAGATTGAAAAACTGTAACTTGATCAAAGCTAGGTTTCGTGGATAGAAAGAACCAAACTTTTGTTGAGAATTTGTAGTCTTTGTAATTAGGATTCACGGTCTATTGGTGCTATTGCGGGGCTTGCAATCGCTGTGATATTCACGTGGAGGGCGATTAGAAGACAACCAGGGGAGCAAGCTCAAAGAAGGCGACCTAAACGCACGTTGCAATCAGCTGAATCCTCTACTTCTGCTTCTGCTGCTGCTGATTTCACCCCTCATGAGGAGGATAGTGGAGTGGGAGATGTTGTTGATCACTTTTTTCAGTCTGGAAAAGTAATATTCTGTTTCTATTGTACTATAGAGTTATAGACTTGGTTCTGGTTTAAATGTAGTTTCTTTTTTTTGTTTGCAGCCTACATTGGGGCAGATAGTTAGGCAGAGACTTAGTGAAGGAAGGAAGGTAAATTTCTTGTCTGCATTGGTTGAGAATGTTGTGAGTTTATCATGTTTTAATCACTTTAAATTGCAGATATGGTCCTTGGTGTTAACATGGTTGATACAATTGAATGTTCATGGATATCTGCTTCTCATGTATTTTGTCGGAGCTATAGACCATAATAAATCAAATCCTCTGAGAGCTTTGTTTTAATCCAAGACTTAAGTCGTTTGTTCAAGCATTATTGTCTTGAGCTTCACACTTGTTGAATGTGCATTTGTAGGTAACATGCCGTCTTCTTGGAGTCATTCTGGAGGAAACAAGTCCAGAAGAACTCCAAGTAGTAAACATTTCCTGTTGATAAGCCATGTTAATATTTGCATTTGATGCGTCTGTACCTGAGGAACCTGACTCGAGAAAATTTATATGCAGAAACAAGCAACAGTGAGGTCATCCGTTATTGAAGTTCTCCTGGAGATTACAAAGTGTTGTGATTTGTATCTCATGGAAAGAGTTCTTGACGACGAAAGCGAAGTGAGCAACACCTTCTCTTCCATTCATTTTCTTTTCTTGGTCTTCCTGTTGGTTCTTTGCCCTAACATGGCACAGCAAATAAGTTGTGGTTATCACTACAAACTAATTAGCTTAAAAGCTCGGCAGTGGGTTATAATATGGATATTTTTTGTAGATTAGAGTTGAACAATGAATGCTGTTTGATTAGAATGGTTCGTAAGCGCACATGTATTTACATTATTAGATGAAGAGGTCTAGTTGATTGGTGCAACTTAATACGTGAGACGTGTTTGCTGGTGACTAAGCAAGCATGTTTATATATCAGTGGTTCTGAAGCTCACATTTGAGCACTAATATGCAGGCCAAAGTTCTTCAGGCTCTAGAGACTGCAGGAGTTTTCACATCTGGGGGTTTGGTCAAAGATAAGGTACTCTCACTCAAGCTTTCTCGGACTATCTCTGTACTTGCTAAGAGTTTTCCAGCAAATCTATTCATAGCAAACAAGACGAATTGGTATTTAGTTTTGAAAAACTTTGGAAACTTTCAGTATTTTGATAGTGAAAACTTTGCAGGTCCTGTTTTGTAGTACAGAGATTGGAAGAAGTTCATTTGTAAGGCAACTAGAACCTGACTGGCATATTGATACAAATCCAGAAATCAGCACACAACTAGCTGTAAAAGTCCACTTTCCTTTGTTTCAGTTACATTCATATCTAAACACTATAGTTAAACTGATTTGTATCTTCTTTTTGTGTTTTGTCCTATTCCAGAGGTTTATAAAGTTTCAGCTTCACGTCTCTGCAGCGAAACCAGAGCGAACGGCTCCCAATGTGTTCTCCTCACAGTCAATAGAACAGTTCTTTGGATGTGCTTGATATGCAACAAACTTAAAGATTACTGGGTGAGTTCCTATATGGGAAGTATCCAAGTGTGTAATATATGTATTAGCAAATTAAGCAAAGTCTTCAGGGAAGAAAGGAAGGATCAGAGGGATCTTTGTAATGTGAAGTTGTAAACCTTTTTTTTTTCCACTGGATTTCATTCATAACTTTTGATACAAGGTAGGTTGCGGTTGTAAGATTCGTTACTGACGGGTTTTAAATTTCTAGAGTCTTTCAAAATACCTTCAAATCGAAGGAGAGATGAACAAAAATAGCAGCCTTTCAAACTCGGAACAAAAACACAATCTTTTACAGAACCAAGACAAAGAAAAAAACAAAAACAAATTAAGATACAAACCTTGAAGGAAGTTTGCAGAAGACAAAATGAAAAAATAGTATTTCTTTCACTGGAAATATTTATTTAGTCTTTTCTTTTACCTCTGGTCTTTGGACTAATACAAAGCAAAGCACTGTCTGCAGAGCTGTATGAACCAAAGGAGTTATGTAACTTGTAACTACGGTTTGACGTTATTATCCATATTTTTATGTGTCAGGAACGGCTTTCTTCTCTCTGCAGAGCTGCATGATCCATTCTTGTTGCCCGAATGCAAAAGCCTTCAAAAGAGAATAGGTGACTTTCTTACAGCTTTTTCCTCTTACACACCTCAAATGCTTTGGTCTTAAACTGAGATTCCTCCACGTTGATCTCTTTTTTCTTGTGATTTTGCAGGACAGAGACGGACAAGCAGTAATTATTGAGTTAGACTTATTAGCCAGAACGAAGAGGTACCCTTATCTTGTCTTCTCACATTGAATGCTTTTATACAAACACTAGCTTTCTGTTTTTCTTTTTTTGTTCACATATGAGAAAACAGGTGACGAGTTCATATATAGACAGAGGAGTTTCCTGATAGACATCTAATATCAATGCTGGCGTGGAGAAGGACTGTATGGAACTCTCTGGATGGTTTAGCAGGTTTGCCGTTGGACTAAGGAATAAGAGATTCTAGTTGGTTCAGAAGCTTTGCAGTTGGAATAGTTGAAGGAAGAAGATGGAGTATAAATAGAGAGCTTGATGGTAGAAGGGAGTTATGCTTTGATGTGTATGAAGATTGACGCCATGAGTCATCTTGACCTGATCGCCATGACATCGGTGACGAAGGTGAAGCTCACGGCTTAGCCGGAGTCAGCTCAAAGCTATATTTGTTTATCATCTTGAAATCTCTGTTCTAGCTTGTAATCGTTGTTTGGAGTGATCAATAAGAAGAGTTATAGAGTTTCCGATATCAAGACTATCATTTCCATACAAAGAGAGGCAATCATTACTTGTAGATTACGGTTTCACCTGCGAACTGTCCTAAATGTCTGGAAAATTCATCGATCGCCCACGCCATAAGAACAGAAATACTCAATTTTGCGTACTTAGTTTTCCTGGGGCTTAAAGACTTAATAATCCCTCCTCCATTAACGAATATTCAATATATATATAAAGATAGTCATGTACCAGTTCTAAACTTTGTTAAGTATTCCACAGAACAAAATGTAAAGCTTCCCTAGCATATATATTAACTTAAAGAACCGACTTTCTGTCTAAGAAGTTTTGAGGTTATGGGTTCGTTCAGTGAAAAAGATCAAACGGAATCAACGTCATTGGCTTTGCTTTGTTCAATCACGTCGACGTTTGCCTTCTCCTCGTCTCCCTGGATACACGCAACACAAACATTTTTCAGAACACAAGTGAGTAGGACTAAGATTAGTTCACGGACAAGTTTCCCATAATGCTTACTTTAAAATGGGCATCTCTGAAAGGTGGGGGTGGAGGAAGAGATATGAGAGGAGAGCCTTTGGCTGCTCGAGTATTTTCTTCATCAAATTCTGCTACTTCACCAGATTCCCGAGTTGCCATGCTCATATACGACATTACCTGCAGGAGGACCGTAACCAAGCCTATTATCTCTGCCACAATTAAAAGTGAACACCATTCTGCAGCAGAAGAAGAAAGTGAAACCAAGAAGATGTATTACCTTATTGCTAGATGAGGTGCCAGAAGAAAGCCTTCTTCTTTTCCGAGCGTCTTCCTTTGATGAAGACTTGTTCATTGTGTCTTCCTCGTTCCGCCCTCTACTCTCCTCTTCGGAAAATGATTTTGAAGGTCCCGTATTCCAACGCGAAGAACTCTTCACATTCTCCAACCTATCTTCTTCACGTCTTCCTATCAAGGCTGGAAAGAAATGGATAAACTTCATTGCGTTTGTAACAACTGATTTTCCTAAAACTAGTTAAAACAAAGACATATAAGTACAGATTAGTTTACCATCTTTAACAGACGCTTTGGCAGTATACTGTTCCATATGATGCCTTTTCCTGGATAACGGAGAAGTATTCTGCAGCTCATTTTGCAAATACGAAGCAGTTCTCAGATTCCGACCATTTTTCTCTTCATCGCTTACGATATCTGTTTCACTGTCATTGCCTTCATTTCCAAGAAAATACGTACTAAGTTGGGAACACAACTTCTGAAGACGAGCTTCTGACCTACAGATTTGTCAAAGTATCGTCTATTGAATGAAATCTTTGCATTGCATACTTGAATTTTACAAAAAAAGCAATCAGAAAAAAGGATAGTGTCCTGCCTCTTTACTTCATCTTTTGCACGCAAGAAACGATTACATTCTTTCACAAATTTCTTCGAGCTTGAAGTAATGCTGTGACATACAAAAGGATTGAACAAACAATCATCAGCAGAAAATCCAGTCTAGAATTTGACAAATTACATTACAGGGAGTATTCGAATCTGAAATAACTTCAAGCAAACATCAAGAAGGAAAGACCCATTACCTTTTAAATTCCTCTTTCTGTCTATCCAACTGGGTCCCAAGCTCCTGGATCCTAGAGGTAAGAATGTCTACTTCCCTTGCTTTCCTTTCAACAGTAGCCTTTAGACAAAAGTAGTGTGTCAATCATATATGTCAAGTTAACTCGTAAAAAAATGCAATAAGATTTAACTATGGAATGGAAAAGATTACCTCCAATCGTAATTTGTCATCAGTTAGCATCTTAACATCAATCTTTACATCTTTTAACTGCATATAGTCCCAGAGTAAAGGTTAGATTAATGACAGTAATTCAATCAAAAGAGAACAATGTCCTTAAATAACAAGAAGATCAAAGTTTCAAACCTGCTCTTCCAGAACATTATTGTAACCAAGAAACTTATTTCTTTCATCTCTTTCCCTAACTTCAATCCTACTTCCAGCTTTCAAACCACCAGAATAATCACTTCGTTCATCATATCTTCGGTTCTCCCTGTAGTCTACATCTCTGTAATAATAGAAGATATAAAGCCACAGCTTAAAGCATCAAATTACCAAAGTAGAACCGAGCGAAGGAGAAGACATACCTTCGCTTCTCAAAGGACCTGGGATTTTCATGTCCTGCAATTTTGAATCCCATCGGTAATAATCAGAAGAAAGAAATCCAAACGAGAGGTTGATAGAGTTTTGTGATTGTGCCTAACTAACAATCAACAGAACTCCAAAAAAACCAAAGCTGCAGATCTTACCATTAAACCTTTGTACTCTCCTTCCACTTCTGTCCAAAGAAGGTCTCCGCTCTGGAGAAAACTGTCTACCAAGTTTTTCTCTTAAGTCACCGTCTAAATTGTGACGTCTGCCTGCATGCAGTAAACGAAACAGACTTTCTAGTAAAGCATAACTTGTATTACCGATGTGAACTCCGTTTCAAACAATCAGAATCATGCTAGTCAACAACGCTTGGATAAGACTACTAGTAACACCAAGAAAAAAGCTATGATGCTTACTTGCCAGCTCAAAGAGACCACAAAATAATATCCTCTTCTTACCAACAATGGGAGAAAGCCACAAATGGGCACTAAATAAGTTAACATCCATAAATAACAACCAATCTTGAAGATGCATTCAGTTACACAGAAAAGGATAATGCTTCTGCATCATGTTGGGTTGGACGAGAGAAAATAGCAACCAATCTTGAAGATCCATTCAAATTAGACAACCACAATCCACCAAAATTTGAAATCCAATTCTTAGAGACAATTTTAACCCCTGCATACTTCTTGGTCCCAGAAACTGCTTGTGAGAGAACTGAATATATATATAGCAATCATGGGAATATCATGCTCTGTAGTGTACACCTCAGAATCAAAGAAGCCAAGAACAAGGAATTCCCAAACACACAACTGGCAGCATTGATAATATATCCTAATAACATGCACTGATTGGTCACCAAATCTTGAACTCTGAGAACCAATGATTGTAGAAGAATAAATACCCCCCAAGAAATCCATGAATGATGATTATCTTCAAAAAGAATGTGCTTTCAAGAACAATAAGAAAACCAACTGATGATTATCTTCAAAAAGAATGTGCTTTCAAGAACAATAAGAAAACCAATATAAATTTGAGCAAGAAAGACCAGAAGAATCCAGTCTTATAATACTAAAGCCTTTTCAGTTGCTATCTTTCTGCAGATGGAACAGCCATATTCCACAAATGATTCCGCGTCAGTAAAGCAAATTGATAAATTATATATCAAGATTGAAGATAACCAAGTCCAAAGAAAAGTATAATAGTGATTGACACCACAGAACTCAAAAGTTTTGAACAGTGAAGGAGAAAGTTAGTTTCACAGAATCCTCCAAAGTCTGATACACAATAGCTTGATGGAAAAGGCAAAAGGCAGAAAGGAAGAGATTCGTTACCTGTGAAGGAAGAAGATTCAGCAGGACGACGGAGCTCAGAAACTCCATGAGCAAAAGTGCAATTAGGCTTCGAGCAGTTACCACTCTTCGTGTACACAATACAAAGCTTCGTCTTATACAAAGCACCCCCAGACATTATCACAATCGAAACTCAAAACCTCCACACAAAAAAAAAGCATTCACCGTCTCTTTCCTAATCCTAAAACAAGATAACAGAAACAGAACCATTCGCTTCCATGAAGATTATTATTATATAACAAATTCTCAAGCGTAAGAGAGAAATCGAAAACATACCAAAAGGGCGATTCAACGCAGGACGGAGGGAGAGACAAGTCAGACAAACGGAGAAGACTCAGGGAATATGAAAAGTCTTTTCCGATATATATATATTTGTTAGAGGACCCAACTTTACTATTTTGCCCTTTGAAGATAAGTTTTGTATACGTTTAATTAAGAAACAAATCATATAAAATGTACTTTACTGTTTTCGAATAAATAGTAAAATTTAATACCATAAATACTAAGGTTGCCAGATTCTGTTCCTGTTCTAAAAATTAATTTGACAGATTCTGTTCCTGTTCTAAACATTAATTTTGAGTAAGGTTGCCAACTTGCGAACATGCATATGATGTATGTGTGTATCTAAATATACATACTGAATCTTGTAACTTTAATTAACAAGCTATTTCCTGCTCAAAACTATTATATAGTACTAATTATACATGAAGATAATCACCATCCAAATTTCCATGACTTAATAATTATGATATAAACTTCTATAAAGACATTGTTCTAAATATATCCACAAAATTTCAAAAAGATTTGGTTACATTGTTCTAAATATATCCACCGTCTCGTTCCTAAGGGGTTGATTGGTAGAGCATTAGCATAAGCATTATGCTCTCTATTATCCAATCAACATTTGTCAAAGAAGCATTTAGAAAAGCATTTACCAAATGCAAATGCTCTCCAAATGCTTTTTGCTCAATGCTCTCATATAGAGTTTTTGAGAGAGCATTTGCATATAGAAAATATAAAACTTAACAATATTTATGTATAATTAATTTATTTTTGTTTAAAAAAATAAACAATATTTTTATAATTAAATATAAATTTATATTGTAAAAAATAAAAATAAAAATTATAATTATTTTTTATAATAAAAATATTTCAAATTTAAAATATAATATAATTATATAATTACATATATCATTCATTATTTTTAATAACAAACATAATATAAATTATATATTATCTATATAAACATATTATTTAGACACTAATAAATAAATTATATATTAACTTTTATGATAATTTTATATATGAGTAATTTAGTGCTTTAACAATAAATAAATAATAATAATTTATATATAAATAATAATTAATATATATATAAAATATAATTAATTTATATATAAAATATAATTAATTAATTTATTTATTTAAGAATAATTAATTAAATTATAACTATAATTTTATATATGAGTAATATGTTATATCCAAAATAATTTAATACTTTTTTAAAAAACTTTAAATTTTTAAATATAATTATATAATGAAATTCATTATTTTTATTAAAATTATATATTATTAATTTATTATATATATATATATATATATTATTTTACTAACTATTATGATAATTTTAAAATCGTATACTGCTAATGCTCTGCCAATCTCTTTATTAAAAACTTTAATGAAAGCATACAGCTTCTGTAGCATACTGCTTCTGCAGCATACTATTACTGTTTTATCATCTGCTGTACCAATCGAGGCCTAAGCAAGATAACAGAAACATAACCATTCGCTTTACTGGAAGTAAACATGAAGTTAAATTAGGGAGCAAGTAATATTATTTCCGTTTAAGTTAAGATTGAGAGAAAATGAAATTTACTTGTCAAGTGAGTTTTATAACATCTATATAAAGATATATTAAGTTGTGATATCATTTAAGAGTTTAAGAGAGATTTTTGTGAGAACTTGAGTTTTTGAGAGAGTTTTCTTAAACTATAATAAGAAGTTGAGTTGTTCTTATTCGATCTTGAGTTCATATAATTTTGCTTGAAACAATATTTGGTATCAGAGCCAAACATGAACGAAATCGTAGCGGTAACAGTGGCAACAGTCATGAGAGGAAAAGAAGGCGGAGGCATCAACTGTCCGATGCTCACGACTACAAACTACACTGTGTGGGAAATCCGTATGAAGATCTTGCTTAAAGTCCATGAGGTTTGGGACGTGACAGAGCAGGAAAAGAGGATAAGAAAAAGAATAATGTTGCAATTTCTTTAATTGTTGGGTCAATTCCCGAAGCTCTAGTGTTGCAAGTAGGAGAGTTGGATCAAGCAAAGAAGGTGTGGGAAGCTATTAAATCAAGACATATGGGAGCAGACAGAGTAAAAGAAGCTAGACTCCAAACACTTCTGGCTGAATTTGATCGGCTGAAGATGAAAGAAAGTGATACAATCGACAATTTTGTGGGAAAAATAGCTGAGATTACATCAAAGAGCTCGGCGTTAGGTGAGAATATTGAAGAACCAAAGATGGTTAAAAAGTTCTTCTCGTCTCTACCAAGAAAGAAGTTTATACACATCGTGGCGTCCATTGAACAACTCTTAGATCTTAACACTACTAGTTTTGAGGATATTATCGGTCGACTCAAAGCTTACAAAGAGCGGATACGAGATGAAGAAGAAGAGGTACAAGGGAACCAAAGCAAACTGATGCATGCCACCTCAGAAGCAACACACACGCAATCGTATAACCGAAGAGATTACAATGCTGATTACAGAAATAGGGGCCGGGGTGGAAGGTATTATGGCCGAGGAAGAGGTCGTGGAATATCATATTATAGAGAGGTAGACATGTCAAAGATGATATGTTTCAGATGTTATAAAGCTCGGTCACTTCGCTAGTAGTTGTCCTGATAGACTTTTGAAGTTGCAAGAGACATACGAGAACAAAGACAAGGATCACGAGGAAACACATGAAACAGACATGTTATTGATGCATGAAATAGTGTACTTAAATGAAAATAATGTCAAGCCTAAAGAGTTCGAGTCAAGAATGGGTGGAGACAAGGTTTGATACTTAGACAACAGTGCTAGTAATCGTATGACTGGAAACAAGAACTATTTCAAGAGCATTGATGAAACTATTACCGGAAAAGTACGGTTTGACGACGACTCATACATCAATATTAAAGGGAAAGGGTCGATCTTGTTTATCAGTCAAGACGGTGAGAAGAAATTGCTAGCAAATTTCTATTTTATACAAGACCTAAAAAGCAACATCATAAGTTTGGGGCAAGCAACTGAATCAGGGTGTGAAGTGATGAAACAAGATAACTTAACATTACATGACAAGGATGGACATCTCATTACCAGAGCTAAGAGGGCAAAGAATCGACTATATAAGGTACTTATGGAGATAATTGATACAAGATGTCTACAACTAGTCATTCAGAATGATTCAGCACGATGGCACGCATGCCTTGGACACATTGGATTCGATTCTATGAAGCTAATGGTGCAAAAAGAATTGGTCTTAAGAATACCTCAAATCAATTTTGATAAAGATACATGCGGATCATGCCTCCTTGGTAAATAGACGAGACAACTGTTTCCACAAGCGACTACATACAGAGCTTCAGAAATATTGGAGCTTATACATGGAGACCACTGTGGACCTATCACACCATCGACTGCAGAGAGAAATCGATACATCTTCGTTCTTATAGATGATCACTCACAGTACATGTGGACAATTTTCTTAAAAGAGAAGGGAGAAGCGTTTGAAAAATTAAAAACTTCAAAGCAGTGGTTGAACAAGAAACAAAGACAACAATCAAAACGCTCAGAACCGACAGAGGTGGTGAGTTTACTTTTTTGGAGTTCCCGGAGTTCTGTGAGAAAGCATGGATTCAACGTCACCTTACTGTTCCATACACGCCTCAGCGGAACGGAGTTGTGGAGAGGCGTAATAGGACTTTAATGGAGATGACCAGAACTCTCTTGAAGCATATTGAAGTACCCAACTACCTTTGGGGTGAAGCTGTGAGGCATTCTTGTTATCTTATTAACCGCGTAGCTACGAGATCACTGAGCCAACAAACACCATACGAAGTCTACAAAGGGAGAAAGCCTAGCGTCAAACATCTCAGAGTCTTTGGTTGCATTGGGTACGCGAAGTCTGAGACGCCCTACCTACAAAATTTGGAGGATAAATCGAGGACATTAGTACATCTAGGAACCAAACCAAGTTCCAAATCCTACATGATGTTTGATCCTACATGCAGAAAGATAGTAGTGAGCAGAGATGTAGTTTTTGATGAAACTAGACGTGGAAGTGGAATGAAACCGGTCGAGAAAATAAGGACAAGCCTGGAATGTTTAGACTCACAATCAGTGGTTTTGGAAATCAGGGAATTAGAACAGAGGAAGGTGAAGAAGTAGAAGAAAATTATGGAGAAGTGGATAACGATCTCAATGACCACGAGAATGATGAAGGACTTGACAACAACGAAGAAACAACTCTGTTCGCGATAGGAGACAACAATGCTGATACAACTCTGCTCCGGAGATCAAATAGAGTGAGAAAGAAGCCATCACACTTGGAGGATTATATACTTCTATCTGAAACTGAAGGGGAGCGACTTCTGTTGCTTCTTGACGAAGAACCTTGGGATTTCAAAGAAGCGATGGAAGATAAACTATGGAGGGAAGCATGCGAGGACGAGATAAAATCCATCGTAAAAAATAAAACTTGGGATCTTGTTGACTTGCCGAAAGGAGCTAAAACAATAGGCTTGAAATGGATATTCAAGATAAAAAGGAATAGCAATGGAAGCATCAAAAAAAAATATAAATCAAGACTCGTGGCAAAAGGGTACATACATAGACATGGTAAAGACTTCGAGGAAGTTTTTGCGCCAGTAGCTAGAATCGAAACCATTCGATTTCTTATTGCCTTAGCAGCCTCGAGTGGATGGGAGATTCATCACCTGGATGTTAAAACAGCATTTATAAAAGCAGGTGTTTATGTAAGTCAACCAGAGGGGTTCGAAGTCAGAGGAAGCAAAGACAAAGTATATAAGATTCGTAAAGCTCTATATGGGTTGCGACAAGCTCCGCATGCATGGAATGAAAAACTTAATAAAATACTTGAGCAGTTGAAGTTTATCAAGTGTTCCAAAGAGCCATCCTTGTACCGAAAGAGAACAAACAATCACCTTCTCTTAGTCGCAGTTTATGTAGATGATCTCTTAATTACAGGGCCAAGTCTAGACATGATAAAGAGATTCAAGAAAGAGATGTCAGACAATTTTGAGATGTCTGATC